TAAAAGAAATGCTTCAAAATGCTGACGATGCTGGTGCTACAGAGGTTATATTCATTAAAGACTTTCGAACATTACCCAAAACAAACCTCCCAGATCCAAGATTGGATGATGTTCAAGGACCAGCTTTGTGTGTATTCAACAATAGTTTTTTTACTGAAGAAGATTTGAAAGGAATTCAGGATTTGGGAACTGGTAGTAAAAAGGACGATGTTCTAAAAACCGGTCAATATGGTGTGGGCTTTAATGTTGTTTATCATGTAACTGATGTTCCATCATTCTGGAGCAAGGGTGGAGATGTTGGTGAAACTGTTTGTATATTCGATCCTCACTGTAAATACCTTTCAATGGCACATGCAATGAAACCTGGTGTAAAGATAGATGCTGTTGCTCTAAGAAATTCGTTTTCCGATTTCAATGAAGGATTTCTACCTAAATTTACAGAGAACTTGGACCAAGGCACGGTATTTAGGCTTCCACTAAGGAATAGACAAATGGCTAATCTGTCTGAAATTTCAAAAGAAGAGATGACTGAAAACCACATTGATCATATATTTGACATTTTGAAGATACAGATATTCTCATCTATGCTTTTTTTGGAGAATATTACCTCAGTTAAATTTGGTACCGTTCAATCTGATGGCAAAGTACAGATTGACTATGAAGTTCAGTCCAGTATGGATAAACAAAACCAACAGAAACAGAAAATTTTAAACAAACATTTATTAGATCTCAATGCCAGAATTAAAGACAAACATTGTGATGCTTTTCATCTACTGAAAGAGGTGACTATTAATATGAGAATCAAAGATAGTTTAGAGAAAGATGAAGAATACTTGATAGTAAAACGTGCCGGTTTTAATAACGGACTGCCAGATGAATTGATAGAATCTTTAAAGACTGGTAAATTAATGAAACTACCACGCGGTGGAGTTGCTATAAATTTAAATAATCAAGTCAAGGGAATTGCCTATTGTACATTGCCTTTACCTATACACACTGGTCTCCCGGTTCATGTGAACGGACAATTTGCTTTAGATCACGAATCAAGAAGAAATATCTGGAATGATGAAACATCTGTACCTGGATTGTGGAATAGTGAATTAAGTTCTCAAATCATTGTCCCAGCGTATTTGAAATTATTGGAAGAGTTTAAACTATACCCATTAAGTGTCCGTCATAAAAACTTAAACAGATATACTATGGAAGAAGAAATCAAAAGATTTGAAAATTTACTTCCTAAATCTCAATCGACAAACGGTAATTTCTGGAAGGAATTTGTTGTTAAGATGTATACAGCCATTGGATGTGAGAAGAGACTTTTATTCCCTGTTCTCAAGGAAAACACCCAGAATTGGTATGATATAGAATGGGTAGCAGTTCAAACTGGTGAAGAATTTAATGGTTGTTTTGATACACTGTATTCTTATTTCAAAGATGAAAAATCAACAGCAATCACACCGTACAGATCATCAGGTTTTTCAATATCAACTCATTTACCATATCCACCAGTCAACAAACCAACTCAAAGTAAAAACATTACCCTTAAACAGATTTTGATAAAATTGGGAATGAAAGTGTTGGAGACATCTGAATGGATTTTACACGAATTTGAATATGCTAAAGTCAACGTTTTATCTGTTAATCCTGAAAATGTTTTGAAGTTTTTAAAATCTCACAAAGGTGAAGATGAAAACCGGTGTCAATTAAGCATTCCCGAAAATATTCAAAAGACGGCATTTGGATGCTTGAAAAACTTTAAATTGGTTTTGAAATTTGTGCTTCGTGATATCAAGAAAGAAACTGTAAAAAACTTACTTGGCTCTCCATTGCTTTTAAGACAAAATAACATTTTGGACTTTTACGGAGAAGGGAAAGTAATAGTATCTCAATTTTGCGACATCTTTAGAGCCTTTTCTGAGCAGTTCATCCATTTTGAATGTGTTGATTTGATGAAACAGTATATAAACAATTTTGATCCATTAATCAATTGGTCACTGGAATCTTTCGTTGAGATGTTGAAACAATCATATAGTTATCTTGGAAACTGTAATATTGTTTCATGGAATCAACAAGAACTTCCTCAGATCTGGATTAGTAAGGTTTGGAAGTTTATTCATGACTGTTTACCAAATCAAGAGTTGCGTGTACCTAGTTCTCCTTCCTTTAAATTATTGGCTGATGTGTCAATTGTACCAGCAAGGAAAAATCAAGATATGTTTCTTCTGTACCCATTGTGTAAAGGGAACCATGTACTCTATCCTTGTGATGATTTGTATAATAGTAAACAGAAAAAATTGGAGAAAGTATTCCTTAAGATAAGTTTGCCATTTTTAGTTTACGTAGATTTGGGAATGTCCATTGACGAGCTTCAAACGTATAGATTTACAGTTGCTAACCTGAATGATCCTCAAAGAATGACGGAACTATTGAAATATAATTTTGTGAATTTGAATCTTCTCAATGTTGAAATGGCAGAAAGCATCTTGGATTATTTCAGCAGTAGAATTGAAGATATCAATATTAATGCGTTTGAAACTCTAAAAGGGTTACCACTATTTGAAACACATGACAACACATTGTTATCAATTGCTCCACTGAAAAAACACATTTGCTTAAAAAGTAGTTATCCACCTGTACCAAAAAACGGTGTAAACCATTGGGCTGAGACTGCAAATATTATCATTTTGAAATTTCACTATTGTATTGAATCACTCTATAAAGCACTTCAGATAAACTGTGTTGAAGCAGACGAACTGTATTGCCGTTTCATTTTTCCGAATTTCCATTGTTTTAAAATAGAATATTATATAGTCCATCTGGAATATGTGCGTGATAATGTCCTACAGACTTGCACTGCGGAGACGAAGTACGAAATCTGGCGGCTTCTGAAGGAAATAGCTTTTATTCAAAGTTCAGATGGTGGTCTGAAAAAGGCCAGTGATTTCTATGATAAGAGAGAGGAAATATTTAAGGTCATGATGCCCAATTCAAAATTCCCCCCTGCACCTTTTGATGATGATAAGTGGTATACATTTTTAGTTCAAACTGGACTTGTACAAACTGTTACTGTTGATTTGTTTGTTGAATTTGCTAATTCAGTTCAAGAACAGGCTAACCATCAAGTTACAAAAGATGTCCTAAAAAAATCAGACGTTCTTGTAGAACATCTGTGTAGTAGATCTGATCTCAGACGAGAAGGAATCTTACCTAGAATAAAACATATTCGGTTTGTGGAACCAATTCGTCTGAATGGTTATAGAACGAAGATACATGCACAGTTTAATAATGGTCATAATGGATTAATTACATATTCAGGATCTGTTTTGTCTATTAACTTAAACAATGTTTGGACTGTAGCTAACTGTATATCTTCAAATTCAGTTCCTCGTGATGATCAACATTCTAAAGACGAACCATCAATATTGCATCTTTTGGGTGTTATTCCTAAGATTGATTTCCAACTATTTTCAAAGCATATGAAGAAAATTTGTCTTAGTTTGAATGAGCGATTAATGAGAGAGGTTGGTGAAAAGAAACTATATTGTTTGTTCGAAGGATTCTATAAGTTCATTCAAGATAATTCACCAATAACTTCAACATCTCTTGAGAACTGTCCAACTATATATTTACCTGAAACTAATCAGTTAGTAGAACCATGGAGAGTTCTCCTTCAGCCAGAGAAAACACAGCTCATTGATAACAGAATTTTTCAAGCCTCGGTTAAATTTGGGCTTTATTTTGATGTATTTAAAACTCTGGGTATAAACGAAAACGCTGAAGCATCAATCTACCTGAAAGTACTTAAAGAATTGTATAATGAGTGGAAAGATAAAGAACTAAGTCCTAATGAATTTAAAGTGGTTCANAAGTGTGTTGACAATCTTAATGCTTTATGGAAAGATGATTTTATAAGACATTCAACAATAGACTCGATCAACACCTTGTATCTTCCGTCGG